TTAGGTATCTCAAAAACTTTTGAAAAAATCTAAATGGTTGATATATGCCTATAGTTTTCCACATGAGATTTGTCACGACTTTTGAAAGCAGGACAAACTTTGGTCACTTTCCTGATTCTTTAAAAAGGAGCTGCAGAAACTGCAGCACAATCACCTTAAACCTCATAAGAACTTGTACTTGTTCTTTAATTTTTAACAAACTATAAGTATCTCCGATACGATGCGTTTGTGAACATGTTCACACGATTTTTTTTCTTGGTGTATGACTATCATTAAAGTTTGACCAAATACGTTCCTGTATAAATTATAGCCGCATTGTCATATCTCCGAAAAGGGCAATTCGTATCTCCGATTCGCCTGCGCGATATTTATTTATGGTGCATCGTGCTCTCGATAGAGTTCACAGTTGCTGGCTCATTCGAATCGCTGGTATATTGTTATGCTGATCGCGCACCAGATTAACGCCGTTACGCGAGATGCGCCCCATAAGTAGGCGCAACACGCTCGCGCTCACGGAAACCTCTGCCAAGTTTATATCGTACGGAACATGGGACTTTTCTTTCTTCCATGGTGTACGAGCTAATTGCGAATTTTTGAAACGGCCCCGATACGGCGGCAGATATTCCGACCTTAAGGGACAATTAGTACGGATTCCTTCCAAAAGATGCCTCATCAAAAAAATTGGGATATTTTCTTCGATAAGGTGTACAACTAATTGTCATCCGTTAGGCATAAACAAATGCTACGCTATTATCTACATTAAGAAATCTAATCCGATACATTTCGATTGCATCAAGAATATCTCTCGGAACTTTTTAAGGGACCAGAAGATGTTGAAAAATTTCAAACAGTTAGGTTAGGTACACTCTCACCTTGACTACTTTCCTCAAAACCTTGGAGACTACAAAGAAGAAGAAGAAGAAGAAAATTTCCATCAAGCTATAAGTTAATATCAACATGATGGCCGAATTCTGTTGGACACTAAAAAAGAAACGAATCAGAATAGACAGAAGAGAAAGCAAAACGCACTGCATAGGTCATTCGAAGAGAAAAGAATTCGCTACAAGAGAAGAAAAGTGTAAGAGCGATATCAAAGAAAGGCTGGTTTGAGTCAGTCGAATCTATTTGGAAGTAATTCATATCCATGACATTTATTCAAGATTTTTTAGGATACGAGATTTCCATTTTTTGCGATATTTTGCGACTTGTACAATTTTTGGGTAATGAGGCTCAACAGACTTTAGATTCAAATTCGACTCGACAAAATTTATGAAAAGAACACTTGATTCAATCTAGAAAAACTATTTCTAAATTTTCTCACTCTCATTGATATGATTTTTTGCCATTTTCAACTATTTTTTTGTTTTTTTTGCAAAATCTGTGGGGGGATATAGACTTAAAACTCGAATTCAGCCTTTTACAATACATAAGAAACACTTTTGATCAAGGTGAGAAAAAAATTTTCGATTTTTTTGCGTCATTTTTGGCGATTTTCCGTTATTCGCCATTATTTTGCGCCTTTTGCATAATCTGGGGGAGTGCGGCTTAAAATACATCAGATTTAAATTCAGCACCTCAAAATATATAAGAAACCCACTTGATCAAGTTCAGAACAAATTTTTTAGAATTGTTGTGCTCCCTATCGTAATTATCGGCGATATTTCACTATTTTTTGCAAATTACTCGAAATTATGGAAGTGGTGAGCTAAACGGACTTCAGATTCGGATCAAAGGTACAGATCACTTTTTTTGTGTGCAGGTGTTGTTAATGTCTGCCAACAAATGTACGATAAAGCTGGTAAAGTTAGTAGAAGGATACAGGATACAGGAGTCTTTGTCTAACATTTGCCTATAACTCCGTCCAATTATTTTGTTCCAAGTGTTAGTTGAAAGTTAATACAACTTCTTCGAAGTCGTTTTTTCCAAAATTCGAAGAATTTTCTACATAACTTGGCAACCCCCGCACTAAAATGTTTATATTGCCGTATACAGAATTTTTTCAGAAATCCATATGTTTAAAAATATACAGGGTGTTCCATTTAAAAAATGTAATATTTGGCCAGTCCCGTTTTTACTCATCGCCCTGTGTGTTTCGAATTAATTTTATCCATTAGGGTTTTTTGATTCTGTACAACTTTTACAAAGTTATAAGAAAATGTTAGACAAAGGCTCCTAAATTAGGTAATATCGATACTTTATACAGGGCATTTTTTATAATACGATCATCATTAGAAAGTTTAAGCATGATTTTCAAAAATTTTTCAAATGTATTTTATTGTTCTATTTTATTCATATATCGGTCCAACTTTTATTAAGCATGTTCTATATCTAAAATTGTTAGTTTTTAAGATATAGTTACGTTTCTGAAAAAACTTAATTTTTATTATTTTATAGAATACCACAAATAAATATTAACTAATAAAATTAACTCAAAATGGAATGATAAATTATAAATTGACAAGTTGACACAATGTGACAGTTTTTTCCAAAGCCATTTCATGCGACCGAAAATAATAAAAATTAGGTTTTTTCAGATATATTGCTATATTTTAAAAACTAACAATTTTAGGTGTAGAACATACTTAATAAAAGTTGAAGTGGACCGATATGTGAATAAAATAGAACAATAAAATACAGGGTGTTTCATTTGAAAAATTTTAGAAAATCAAGTTTGAACCTTCTAAAAATGATCATATTATAAAAAATGTCCTGTATAAAATATCGATATTAGCTAATATAGGAGTCTTTGCCTAATATTTGCCTATAACTATGTCAAATATTTTTGCTCCAAGTGTTAATAGTTGAAAGTTAATACAACTTCCTCGAGGTCATGTTTTTTCCAAAATTCGTAGAATTTTCTACATAACTTGGCAACCCCGCACTAAAATTTTAAACTGTCTATATTGCCATATATAGAATTTTCTCAGAAATCCATGTGTTTAAAAATGTACGGGGTGTTCCGTTTAAAAAATGTAATATTTGGCGTGTCCCGTTTTTACTCATCGCCCTGTGTGTTTCAAATTAATTTTGTCCTTTAGGTTTTTTGATTCTGCACAACTTTTATATAAACTTTTTTCCTGTATTACGAATAACAAGGAAGTTATTTTACTTTCTCACACTAATGGCCCACCCTGTATAATATTCTGAATTTGAAAAATAATTATTTCCGCGTTATTTAAATGGAAAATAGAAAATCGCGATGCGCGACCTCTAAATATATTAAGAGTTCCGATTTTTACAGGCATCTCTTCTCACCTCCCTGCAACTATTTCAGAGGGAATTTTGAAACAAAAATAGTCGATTTTTTTTAATCAGCCTAATCTTCAGCTTATCAAACCAGGGGGTTGTGCTACGGTTTCTTGTTTTTCAACCAAATTCCTATAGTAGGATCGTATTCAATGCAAAGTAGAGCAAAAAATTGTCGGCCTTTTATCAAAGGAAAATCGTGTCATCATTTTTAGGACACGTAAGACGAACCATTTCAAATTTAAAATGAAGTTGAATGTTAAATCTGAAATACCGCTGCATACGCACTGTGTTCTGGTAGTAGCTGTAGTCGCCCAGGTGCATCGAGTGTACGAAGTGGTCGGTTATACATCAAATACTAACCTGACGAGCTTGGTCGTAAATCAGAGACCGTCTCCAAAAAACAAGTAAACAACAGTGGCGCGTACAGAGGTAAAATGTAGTACATATGTGGAATTTAAAAAACAAATTCGATTTATAATAAATTATATTTAAAGTAAATAGTTTATGTGAATAAAGGAATTTTTGAACAGAGGTGCCAGACGTAAACTGATTTTCTAAACCCCTTGAAACCGTACTGCACTGGATTCCTTGACAGGCAATGATTTATTACTTTGCATCGAATATGATCCTACTATAGGAACTCTTTTTTTCATGTCTTTAACGAGCCTGTGGCGCAGAAGTTTCACCATTCGACCGTCTCACCACCGCATTAGTCCAGTCCAGACCAGCGTAGCCAGACGTCCCGATTTTGGCGGGACGTCTCGATTTTTAACACAAAATTAAATGTCCCGCGCGGGACAGTCTCAATCCCGCTTTTCCCGATCTTGTTTTGTTTTTTTTTTAGGCATCAATTTTCTCCAGGTCTGTTATTTTAAGTAGATATTTCCTGATTACGCTCTTTTTTTCTGTTTAGACATCGATTTCTTTGAAAACAATTTGTTTCCCAGACCTTTTTTTTAGGCATCAATTATACAAATGCGTCACGACGTCATGCCTTAGTATGTCCCGTTTTTGGACGAAAGAATCCCGCTTTTTATCCAAAATGTTTCAAAATCCCGCTTTGTCCGAAAAAAAATCTGGCAACGCTGGTCCAGATACACCATTCGATGATCCTCACAGGAATTATTAACTCAATTGGACACAATTGTACCTCATAAAGGCGTACATTCATTAACGGCGAACACCACCTTCGCCGTCGGACGATCGAAATAATTTCCATACCCCCGTAATTTTTGTCCGTGGCGCTGCGTAATAGCCCTCCCTCGAAAAAAAAAAAACGGAAAAAATCGCCGACATGATGTTCGTCAATTACCCTTTACCCACAACATCTCGGCTAGACAAAGTAGCGAGATCGTGTCGGGAATTTTAATGTTATTACTGTATTCAAGCGCGGTGGCGAACAGACTTCCGCGCTTGGGTTCGCGATAATTGGTGATTGCGATCGAGGAGCATGTCTACAGGGCGTTCGCAGGAATCCACGGCGCGCGGGAAGGGTATCATTTCGCTGCCGCCTGCGTGTTATGTTTCGTGACGCGGCCATCAGCGAAATTGAAACGTAAGCGAAACCGGGGATCGGGGGCAAACACATGTTCGACGAGGTAAAACCAAAAGTGAATTGAAACCGCGTACAGGGTGAATTGTTACGATGCGAACAAAATAGAACTGTTGGCTGTCGGTTTTTCAGTAATCAGACATATTTCGCATTTTAAACGCTGAAAACAATCGAATCTTTAGTTAAATTTTGTACTTACCCAATTTTTGTTATAAGTTTTCCATGGACGTGAAGGTAGCTTATTACAAATCTCTTATTGACCTGAAACGAAAATTGAATTTCAGTCAAGGAAGAGTCAAATACATACACCAGTGCCAAAATAGTAGGCAGTGACTCGTGACGTGAAGACCACGCGACAGTTACGGCGTGCGAGGAATTCAATTCCATGGGCGTATCATTTTTAAAGGTTACAAAAATTGTTAAAGATATAGAACAACAGATATGTCGATTTTGAAACAAAAACATCCTCACGAATTTAACTATTCTATCCTCGTAGGTAAAGATGGCCTACTACAAACTGGGTACATTTTCTTCTCGATTGTTCTAAAATGGTACGGAGCCAAAGCTTTTGTTAATTGGACAAGTGTCCCTTGTGAAAAGTCTATTATTGTAGTGTCGTAACAGTAAAGTAACAAAAAAATCAGTAAAACCACTATAACTACTAAAAATAGAATTGATTACAGTTGCCTATCCCTATCACTGTCACTAACGCTGTCACTGTTATCGCCTAAAGGTATACTTGTTACGATATCAATTGGAAGCTGTGAATTTTAAGGCACAGGACCGTCTGCACTTCTCTTGAAATTCCTATGCTTTAGCCATGATGTGTCTCGTAATTTAAACTCGAATAGTCATTGGGCGAGTCCGATAATGGTGGACCAGTCCGCCTGATGCAGAATCGACGGCGGCGCGCTGGTCGTCAAAGCAAACCTGTATTGGTCCACTAGGTCGTAAATAATTTTTTGCATGGTATTCTATAATTAGTTTGGTGTCAAACTAGGTTCACTTGGCTTTGTCAGTGCCGTGGAGAGCAGTGCTTGGCGTGGTATATTTATTGTTGGTATAATACGTATTATTAATTATTAGTTTTTATTAATATTTGTTATATCGTAACCAATAAAGGATAATAGTTATTAAAATAAATATTATATGTAATTATCTAGTAATTTAGCATGGAGACCCTTTGAAACGGAAGATAACGAAATAACCCGGGAGAATCCCCAAATAGTCGAGCCGGTTTTTGTCCAAAGCGTCAAAACAAACTCAGAGTTTAAAAACAAAGATTTACACGTACCAAGTAAACGTATTATTTTAAATATAACATGAATGTTTGAAAAGAGAAAATAGTGAACAATATGATAAAGAAATTAGGAAACAGATTAGCGAATTAACTAAGATATCAAAAACAATTTATCGGGTAATTATAGAAGGAGGCGTTATTAATCACGGTACAAAGAAGAAACGGAAAAATACAAAATTAAAGAATATTGACAATTTATATGTATAAAGAAAATAAAGTTCCTACTTTAAACATGATTCAAGATAAATGAAGCGATTATCCTGATTATAATTATAAATCTTTAGATATTTTACGACATGCTTTATTACAATGCGGTTTTAAACATAAAAAACTTAACAATCGTATGGTAATTATGGAATCACGACGTATAATTGCACTTCGGGAAGATTATTTACAAAAAATTCGAGTATATCGTCAACTAAATAGGAATATAGCTCGGAATATAGTATTTCAAGACGAGACAGGACACAATTTTCCTGGACGCCTATGGATTCCGTGGAGTTTGAGTTAAATGTTTTTATGCGGTTCCAACTGATACCGTAACGACTATATAATAAGTGGTTCTATTATAATTTCAACCCTTGTACCGAAGTTCCACATTCGTTGTTCTTTTTATAATTGCATAATGCACTATTCCATGTATCCGCAGTTATCCTGCCAAAGTATTTTTATATTTCGTAATTCAAAAGTTGTGTGCTTTTTTCTTTTTGTATAACTGCTAGTATACTTTTAACATTGTCGTCTTTATATTCAGTATGTTTTCTATTCAACCAATTCATTTCTCCTTTGCTCCCTGCAAATGTTGGCATTTTGTCTATTCTTGACCCAGGTTCCATGTGAGGCAAAATGGATGTAAACCATGATTTAAATATGCCACAATTCATGGTATAGTCTCTCCGATCTCAATCGAAGACCAAAGAGCTAGGCAGCATGCAGGTTCGGTCGCTGACGTAGCAACTCGGCATTGAAATATTTGAAAAACTTATTCCCATATGTATTTAGCCATACCCATATACAGGACTGGTCGAACTAAACGTGCAGGTGGTAGAAATGTATACGACCATTTGAAGAACGCGCGCGGACAAACGCCGCACAAACACAGTCGCACTGGGCGACTGGGCCATAAATTTCAGTTATTGACAAATTGCCTAGCAGTGCAGTGCAGCAATTCGGAATTATTTTATTGTTGATGTTGGTTTTTATATAAACTAACAACCTTTCCTAATCCTTTCCTGGCAAGGATATGTACTTTCCGGTTGGTTCTTGGCGAGCAGTAATATATTTGAATGAAAATGTAAATATTTTTTGATATGTTATAACCAAGATTTGACATCAATATAATAAAATTGTTTGAGGACATAAATAATTAAAATATGTTGTTGGCCAAATGAACATACAACAGAAATTTTCGACACATTATATACAAATATTATTTTTTACCTTCAACAGAAAACGTTTTTAAGGAAGCCTATGAAACTCATTAAATTTTATTGCTAGGCGTTTTTATCACATGTTCAATTGACTTCGGAAAAACTATAATCCATGTTCGTCGTGACTCATCATCCAAAAATTCCCATTCACTTCCGATATCCGTAATTATTAATCGCCTTCCTCTCCTAAATAGTGCCTTTAATCCCGTAGAAAATGTCTTTCATTTATCCACGTTTCGTCGAGATAATAAATTTTCATTTTCAATGCACGACATTATATTATTTTTTCTCATCGTCATGCTACTACTTTTCTATTTTCTATCGATATTTTCGATTTCGTTTCAAATAATGAAAACTCATAACATGCAAAGTACGGGGTCAAACTTTTCGGGACAATTTAAGCGAATCCTAGTCTTCCGCAATTATTTACAGTTTGAATTTGCAATTTTAAAGCATAATCCGTGAATCTTCCAAGTGCGCGCGCAGGCTGAAAGTATCGGAACACTATGCGGAATGAACGACACATTACAATTTCTATACAGCTGCACAAAATACACAAAATTATTTTTATCAAATTAAGGAGCAGTAAAAATTGTAATTTGATTTATTTATGACTCACTGCGGATTATTTTAGACCTAGAGTATAGATATATTAAATTGATATTGCTGAAATTATTACATTTAACGGCTCAATTACGTATTATTCTACAGACTCTCTAATTTTCTTTTTATTTCTTAACAATTAACAGGGAAACATATGAAACGGTTTCTCACCTCGACGCTGCTCAACGAAGCCAGATCTTCTTCCTCCGAATCCTTCTGCTCCTGCATGGCTTGAGTCGTCCTGTGCACCCTCCTTCCTCCCTCGGGATGGATCCAAGTTTCTTTACGAAGGGAACCGGGGATATTTCCGGAGTCTTCAGACTCCTTTTGTTTCATCTGCTGCCGCTGCCGCTCGAGCCTTTCCTCGCGGCGCTTTTTCTCGCCCTGCTCGTACTACGGAAACAGAAAAAAATCATTATCCGTAACCCTTTACGGAAATCGCCACTAAGACAACATATATCGCTACTTTACAGGCTACCTTAACATAAACACTGACATTCAAAATCAAGGTTACTATTTCGTATTACGTGGTGTTACAAAAATTCTTAAATGAACAAATAATTTGGGGTATGATATGGAACCTTACAACAAGGAAATTTAAGCTGTGTAGTTATTTTGTGACAATTTTTTTTTTTAGAAAAAGATGACAATGTTTAATTTAACCATATCGTTTCTAAACTTGGTTATTATTGAAGACACAAAGTATTCTTTCCTGGCGACTATAAAGCGGTAAATAAAAAAAAACAAATGAATCCCGCATTTACGTCAATATGACACTTCGCTAAATAATTGTTTAATTTATTGTTAGTTTAAAAATTGCTATTCTGGTAACTTAACCCAGTTTGGATCTCCAATAACAAACAAAGTAATTGCGTTGTTCGTTCAACGATCGTGCCGATTTGGATTGAAACACCCTGTATATAACGTAAGGTGTAACTTTAAGCAGGGGGTCAGTTTTTTAGGGTAATAGTACCTACATGTTCCCCAAAATACTAATTTGACTTTTTTAAATAAATAAATAGTCGAATTATAATTCACTTTTTAAGCTGTACATAAATCCTGTCTACGCCGCTACTGGACATCTCCCAAACTCATGCGCTCTTATCATGTCCGTTGTTACATTTTAAACAAACTGTATGAAACCAATAGGCAGAGACAGAGAAGAAAAACTGTAATGGAAAATAATTTCATAAGAAATCACTTTCTATTTTTATGTTAATGGGAAAAACATTTTCGAGGGTTTTTAAAAAATTTATATATTTTGCATGATTTATGAATTAACTAATTATCAGCAAGTTAATTATATATATAATTATTTTTATTGCATTATAAAATCTATAATCTGAAATTTTGCATAGACGTTTAGTCTGGATGACAATACATGGTTAGCCAAGTGACGTCATTCTAAATCCAATATGGCGGATTCCCAAAGATGGCGGACCAGTTATTTTTTATGCACCCCTATGATATGGATATCAAATGAAAGGGTTTGCTGAGAAAAATACGAAAATAAAATTACGTCACTAAAAGCTTGTTTTTTGTAAAAAAAAAATATATGAATTTATTACTGTATTATAAAATGTACATAATAAAGAATGAATAAATATGCTTACTAATCTTATAGATTTGAAATATTTTTTAAATTCATTTCAAGTTGTAAGGTTATCCGTTATTAGTTTTTGAAGCACTGTGTTTAGTTTATGAATTCAGTGTCAATGACCTCTGATACTGACTTGGTTTACATAATACTTATACACCTGATGAGATATGACAACAAGGCTTAAACGGTCAAAAAAAACATTAATTCATTCGGAAAAAAGGGTGACCCCCCTACAGTTACACCCCGTATACCGGTATAATTTATTAGACAAAAGTGAATTGTCGGGAGATTGCCAAAATGAAAATAGCGAAAACCATCACTCATAAAAAAAATGTTTTCCGCATTATTTGCCGTCGAAATGTGAATGCATAGTATAAATTACTATTCCCGCAATCGAGTGTCATGATCGATTACTTTCCTACTTAGGCATAATCGATGTTTAAGCTGTAGCCGTACGTTTAATGAAACACATATTACAAGGAACGGCCAAATGATTTTCTTACATCCAGTCGAAAAAAAAATACACTTAAAGCAGCATTACTCCCACTAGCAAACGCAACTAAATATAACATCAATCATGTCTGCCAACAGAGAATCATGCAATCAAACTCGTATTAAACGTAGCTGTACAATTAGTATAGTATATAAATAGTAAATATTTTGGTTTTTGTATTTTTTTATGTTGAGCAGGCTGCATAATAACATTATTACAACCGCCTCTAGAAAGTATATTCCCAGAAGTAATTAATCTATTCCAGTTAAAATAAATAAAGCATGAAATTAAATGGAACGGAGAAATATACAAAAAAATAAATAAAACCTGGTTTTGTTTTCAGTAAATTTAATTAGCTCAAACTTCAATGCGCTCTAGCCTATAGGTTTCTACCTTTTCCCAAGCTTGTTGGTTTAATTTTGTTACACTGCAATCATGAGAGGATCTTCCACTGGAATATGTGAAAATATACAGGGCATTTCTTTTGAAACATTACCCACACGCTGTCGCTTCATTATTTTTCTATTTGAATATTACAAATACTAGATCTGTTCAGAAAATAACCAAACTTTTTAAATTCCGCGCTAATGGAGATATTTAGAGATATGCGGTTGGCAGCACTGCGTTGCGCATAACCTCCTCTGAAACCACATGTTCTTGGATTGTTGATATCTCGTTTTCGTGATATTATTATTTGACTGCAACGCGTTTAAGTGTTAATGACGATTTTTGAAATGTGCGATTTTCTGGAACAATGCACCAAAAATTTTGGGTTAAACTGGAGAAAGCTTTCACGGAAACGTTCCAACTTGTGAAACAAGCTTACGGAGATGATGCTCTGGGCCGTACGCAAATGTTACTATTTAGTTTTCACCATTTAAAATTGGTCGTCAGTCAAATGAAGATGATCCTCGACCAGGAAGGCCTTCCACTACAAACTGATGATTTCCACCCCACGTTCAGAAAGTCAAAGGTTTGATGCGTGGAAACTGCCGATCGGCTGTCAGAAAGATTGCAAGAGGTTAGCATCTGAAAATTTGACTGAAAAATTGAACATGCATCGAGTTGCAGCAAAATTTGTTCCTCATTTGATGACCGAACAGAAAGAAAATAGTGTGGACGTTTGTCGGTCCTCCTCCTCGAACAATCCAATTACGATGAACATTCATCCAAAGGGTCATAATGAGACAAAAATTCAATCATCACAATGGATCTACACGCCCCAAGAAAGCACGTCAACCTCGATCCAATGTCAAAGTGATGCTCATTGTTTTTTCTTTTCTTGGATTTTAATGATGATGCCTCAAAGAGAAACAGTGAATATCATGTGTATTATCAAGGCGTTTTACAACGCTACGTGAAAAAATCGGCAGAAAAAGACCAGAATTGTGGTGAGACCTCGTCTGAGACCAGAACTCATGGTTCTTGTACCAAGGCAATGCTCCCGCGCACTCAGTTTCAATTCGTCAGTTTTGTACCAAAAAGCAGATTACTGTCCTCCCTACACTCCTTACTCACCAGACCTGACTCCTTGCGACTTTTTCTTATTTTCGAAATTAAAATCAGTGCTAAAAGGGCGCCGTTTTAGAGGAGGGGAGTACTTTCAAGGGAACAAGGACCATTAAGGTATAAAATTAATAATAAAGTTTAAAAAAAATAAAGTTCGGTTATTTCCTGAACACACCTGTATCATACATATTTTAACCGCAGTGGATTATTATTTAAAAAAATGTGAAATACAATTCAAGTGATTATTTTTCTGTATAAAATCGCAATTTCTCCGCGAGATAACTGCGACATCGAGCGTAAATCAACTTTACAGGCGTACGTATAACAGGAGACAATAAACATGCCACAGATAAAAAAAAACATCTAAAGATTGGTGCACAAATTAAATGTACAGTTATTTAATTTACGTCGGACGTAAAAAGGTAACTAGCTAATCTATCATTCATGAAATGAACTGGGAAAACAATAAAACGGACAAAATGGAAAATGAACAATTACACTCATTACAACAGAGAACAGGCCACAGGCGCAACCACTGCTAACTACCAGCACAGGGACGGGCTGGGCACGCAAAATGGTTCCATTGTAACACAATAAATGATTTGGTAATTGAAGGAATTGAACTGGCTTCCAATTTTTTTCTGAATTGATCAAATCAAGGTTTATTACTGAAGTCAAAAAAAATAAAAGTATAAAGGTATGCAGGGCCAGTCCAACCCTGATATCAAGTTATATGCAAATATTCCTCAGAAGCACGAAATGGTGAAAATAGTTACTCATAGTAATTGGTTTTAACATTTTAAATAAACGTATGTCAACAAAGAAATATTTTTCATTGACTGTAAGCATTTTGAACGATTTTTTAGTCTAACAGCGACAAACTTCTTCAATCAATCTTTAAAAGTTGTCGTGCCACCGTTGTTATCCCAGGATCACAAAAATCGCCATGTTCGCTATGTAGGGGATGTAATTTTAAGGAGCATTATTATTCTTTAATGAAATAAATTGCGGTCAAATTCTTGTCTACGCCATCAATGGGCAGTACCCGAATTCTATTGTACGTGCAGGCTTACCAGTTTTGCCTGTTCTTACGTTTTTAATCCAATTTGATGAAACCAACGGAGTGAGAAGAAAAATTATTTTGCAAAATCATAATATTATATTTTTGTTTTATTTTGCGAGATGTGATTTTAAAGTCGCCACATTCGCACATTCTATGTACAGTTGTTTTAAAATCTTATGAGCTTTGACCTTCATATGCGCAGAAACATAATTCCGACCGTTACCTAAATTATTCTACGTCCTAAAAACATTACATATATTATTCACAGTCTATCTCGAGCTCTCGTAGCGTAAACAAGCCTTTGATCCGATTACAAATATAATAATAAAATGTCATATTCTTTATTTTAATTGAAGCAATAAAAATATATATAACGAACGTTCGCTAGTTGACTTTATTGATGCCCGAGCGCCTTAGTTCATTTCTGCTTGTAATGAGGCACGTGGTCTAATTCTGAGTCAATGTTTTCACGACGTGCTTATTAGAAGAATTATGAGGCTACGCCACGCCTTTCGCGCATTTCGCGGCTCATGAGATTTTGAAACTGCTCTAAATGCGAACGAATTTGAAGTGATGGTTACTGAAATGTCTTGTGATAACCTTATAGTAATTTATTTTAATGTTTTCTGAAGGTACTGTGTGTTTGTGTGTCTTCATTGTTAATTTTCAGTGTGATATGAAAAAAACATGTATACAAATAAAAATTTGAGAACAGGCTGTCCAGTGAC